TAACAATATAATGATCTAATTCTCCATTAGGTGGTAATGGTTCTTTCCATCTTAAAGAAATTGTCATTTTACGATTATCGAATTCATATATATCAAGTTCTCTTACAGGTGTTGGTGCTGAAGATACAAWATTGCACAATTTAAATAAAATCAAATCAAATGAAATTGAAYTTATAAAACTTACGTTTCGATGGGGTARTAAATATYAATTCCACGCCAGCACTATTATTATRGGGTTTGMMATAATCTCGTATAGGAAAAATTTGTACTTTATATTTTTCGTAACTGTTTAAATTTAATTTGKTGAGATTGAAATATGAATATGCAGTTTGTTCATTTATATCTTTTTGATGTCTTACAGCCTCGCTAAGTCCTGTAAATATTARTCTCGTTTTTTCAATAGATCCTGAAATAGTCGTACAATCTATTGGTTTRTCCCAAGTAATTCGATTATTTTCATATTTCAAATTAGAAAGTTTAGATCTTGGAATATCTGAAAGAATTRTTTTCAAATAATCAACTCGTACTTCAATTTCAATTTCGAATCTGTACCACCTATACACACCTGTAACTTTCATATCAAAACTTCTTTTTATTTCCAAACCTTTCTTCGAATTATATGCAACAATTGTTAATATATATTTTGCGTATGGAGGTATATTGGAAAACGTAACATTTGTCATTGATGTATATGTTGTTTTGTTGTATTTCGAGATGATAGATTGATTATAATTTGCACATCCATAATAATTATCAACCTACGTAAAAAAGGATAAAAATTATTATAAGTGTATGATTGTTAGAAATTCATTTACCATTAACGTGATTTCGTAAGTTTGAATTTTCCCCTTTGGTCTTTCTGGTGGTTTCCATTCTATGTATACTTGATCGTCAGACTGTTTCTTAATTTGTACATCGGTTACTTCCGAAGGTTCTACGAAKAATATTATTTTTTTAATTACAAATACATTTGTGAAAATAATTGTATAAAAGTGTACTGACCCCCATCATCAGTATAAATAATTGTTGATAAGAAATTTGTATTATTTTCACTTAAGTAAACGTTGTAAACGGTGCCAGGTAGAACTTGAAGTGTTAATGGAATTTTATTGATATTTCCTTCATAAATTGTATTATTCGTATTATTTTGTTGATAAATTAACAAATTGTACCAAGACCATGGACATGAATAATTGATTTCTTCGTTATTATTTAATAGATTATTGCCAGTTATTGTTAAATAAGTATCATTAGCTTCAATATTAAAGTGTGCCTTAGCTGGATGAATCAAATTTATGAATAAACTTTATAAATTYGAAGTAATCGTATTTGAAAATATAATTTGAATTACGTACCATCGCAGGGTGTAATAAAATTGTTTGTTAAACCTTTTATAATAAATTTCTCTTGTCCAACGCGTAATTTGCACGATACATTATAATTTATCCCTGGTTCTAAAAATTTGAAATCACTTTCTAAAGTAGTCGTATTTGGAAATACAGTCTTATATGTACAGGTATTTTCGTTCAAAGTGTTCCTATTATTCTGTAAATGATAAATTATCTTGCGTGATTTTGTTCTTCCATTATTTTACAACGTATAATGAATAATTAATTACTTGAATGACAAAACAGTATTCGGTTATCGTTTCCTTATATTCATCCCTTGCAATAAGACTAACACTAAGGTATGTTTTATTTATAAAATTGATAATAGGTGGTGGTGGTACATCGATCACTGAAAAATGACTTTTTTGTATTACTAATTTATACTAATTATTGTATAAATTAAAACAATGATATCTTTACCTGTTTTACAGTACGGTGATACATGATACTTTTCCTTGTTTTTACATTGAGAATCCATACACATTCCTGTCACACTGTTACATGGTTGTGTTAGACATTGACCACAATTTTCTTTGCACGCGTATCCATATTTGTTTGCATCACAATCTGTACAATTTATAGAATTTTCGATAAATAAATATTATTAAATGCAATCAATATAAACTTACGTTTCTCACATTGGTTGCCCATTAAACCATTGTAACAAGTACAACCCATTTTTGTACAAATTACTGTATTTTCACAATTTTTATTAAAATATTGCGAAATATCTCCACAAGATTTTGAACATAAYGTTCCGTTTGGACAATCAAAATCATCTATGAATTATAATTTTATATAAAATAATATGTAAATCTATCATTTTGTAATTATACTTACTGTTTCCGAATTCTGATGTTTTTAGAAAAGCGTTGACTATTTGATTACGTTCGTATGACATTTTTTCACAATATACATTATGCTGAGAGGGATCAAAAGAATTTTTGTTTAACTTATAAACGATCAACTTACTGCGTTTCGTTGCATCTAAAAAAAAATAATTTAAGTTATCTCATGTATTGAAATGAATTCGTATGAATTTTGTACCTAACGAAGGRCACTCTCGAATATTTCCTATTGCCCAAAAACCCTTATCAYTYTTATCATCGATCATTGGTGTAATTTGAATTKTTACATATTTATWGTCATTAGATGAAAATGTTGTATTAATTTGAACATATTGCCACGTTGTTAATTCATGAATTYCTTTGTATCCTTTATAAATTCGTGTATTTATTTCTTTAKTAACGTCGTCATCATTGAATAATATCATAGTGATATTTATTTTACAATTTTCACACAGACCAATAGAAAATTCGAAACAAAGGAATRAATTTTTGTAAGGTATTTTASKACTAGTTAGGACAGCATTTAWTTCATTCGTATAAATATAATCATCTGTAATAAATAAAAAACAATTTATATGGTATAGAACCTTTCTTTTTACCTGATTAGATAATCGATTATAGAATATAATTGAAAACTTACAYATGTGATATCGAATAAGCATCGGTTGTGAACTTTTATAAAAGAGATAATACCTATCGTGATTATTTGGAACAGGTTTTTCATCCACATATTCTAATAGGATTTTTTGTTTATTATATARAGTTATCTTTCTCRTTACGTTGTTCCATTTTAATACAAAGTGTTTCCATTCGTTTGGATTCAACTTAAAATCCTATTAAATAATACGAATTGTATTTAATTCMTTTTSATAACGATAAAAGTATTTTCAAATGCTTACGGTGTTATWATCTCTCATTATAGAACAATCAGWTCCTGGCAATGGATATTCCGATGGTAAACCTTGTGGACATTTTCGTATAATCGACTTAGTATTTTCCCATCCACCGATAATGATCCAATAACAAAAAGAACTTTGATAGTTTTYATCATCGCATAATACCGCGTGTACGTCGGCAGCAGCACGAACGGAAAATACGACGGAATCGGTTTTATTGAAGTAACCAATACGATCCAATTTATATGTAWTGYTAGAATWTTTAAAATTATCATATTCCTTGAAATGTTCCCAACGATTATCCAATACCGGTCCCATTGGTTTAWACCAAGTATTATCAATATTCCATTGACTTATATTCCACGTACATTGTCGATACAAATGAAATGGACAATCGTAATTACTTTCTTTTATACAATTCTCATTTGGACTATTAGTAGTACAGAAATCTGTAAGTATGAGGAAAAAAAAATTAACCAAATTCTAATCATTTTATTGTTAAAAAAAAAAAGAAAAATAAATCATTTATTACCAAAGCTYTGTKTCCAATTTTGAGAATCAATTAATGGCATATTCCATACGAGTGCATTTCCGTCGTCTTTGGATGCGCATATCAAATTTGTCCAGTTGTCATTCATATTTCGAAGGATNGATCCCATCATCAGAAACATTTAATAATTTTGTTAATTTTTGTTTGACTTACCCCTTCGGCTGCTGCACGTCTCAAACAAATATCGCATAAAATGATTGTACCGGTTCTACCAATACCAGCACTGCAATGAACTACCATTGGTCCATTTCCAATTTCTTTAGCTAAAATTTTTTTCAAAAAGGTTACAACGGAATGTGTGTAATTTGGTACACCATGATCTGGCCATGCTGTGTAATGCAAATGTTCTACCTRCATTGTCAAAATACRATTATTGAAACAATGTAAAAAATGATCCTCATCGAARGTTCGATTTACCTTACGGGTTTCGTCATTACACGTTACGTGTAAGATTCTAAAAGTATAGTCGGCGAAAATGTTTTGAGTCGAGTTGAAAACCAACACGTCACCGTACTTCTTCTTTTTACCAATGTCAGGCCAATATTGTTCACACTTTGTCTAAGAACAAACGATGTTAAATTTAACGCAACARWTTTATTAAATAGGGTTAACCAAAAATTCGTTTTGAGAACTACCAACCTTTCCATTTTCAATTATATTAGTTAGCATGCAAATAACAAAGACATTCTCTTGCCAGATCATACGCCAAAAATCAATTATCGTTTTTGCTTTTGGTCCTTGAGTAGCTATGTAACGTTTTTCCTTTTTGTAACCCTTTATTGTTTTTTTCCCCCATGTAACATTTGAAAGGAAACAACATTCTATCATCGATTACAAGTTTCTACAATGTGAAATAAGATTTTTTTGAATRAAATCATTCTCTTTTACCTTGATGTAATTGGCGTTGATGTAATCGGAGAAAGGGTCATCAGCGAGTTTCTTCAATACCACACGTGTTTCGTCATCTACATATACATATATATGTATATATAAATAAATGTTTTTATTCAAATCGCTAAAAATRTYTTTTAAATATTACTTACATGCTATAAGATTTCCATAGCGATTTTTTGATTTATTTTGCGGTAATTTGCCATAATCCCATGACTTTGTTTGGCCTCTTGGAAAAGACTACAAATNAGAAATCTGTAAGTATGAGGAAAAAAAAATTAACCAAATTCTAATCATTTTATTGTTAAAAAAAAAAAGAAAAATAAATCATTTATTACCAAAGCTTTGTTTCCAATTTTGAGAATCAATTAATGGCATATTCCATACGAGTGCATTTCCGTCGTCTTTGGATGCGCATATCAAATTTGTCCAGTTGTCATTCATATTTCGAAGGATCAATAAATTTTCGAATGCATAACTCAGTTGAAAATGAATGATTATAGTAATTAAAACTTTCATATTGCACCTTTCAACGTAACAAGTCATTACAATGTTGTTAATTTTTTTATTATAGCATACAGTAGTGTAACTCACATTTTTTAATGAAACTCAGGATTAATCTCACTCGCGTCAATTTTTTTGTTTTATTTTAGATAATGTTAAACRTTAACGGGTAAAACATTAAATGAAAAAACGGATGCCGAGTGAGTGAACACTAGAAATATTATATTACTCATAAYTATCACGAATAAAACCACGCTTCCTTCGAGATAAGTAATGGTCTTTGTTCATGATAAATTGTGTGTATTTGAAATACCATTGCAAATATTATTTTTTCTTAGAAAAAAGAAATCAAAAACRAATCTTATTTATTCCTAGAAATTCCATATAATAAATTATTATTTTTCATTTTACAAATCATACATACATATTTTTATTTCGCTATCATTTCTTACAAAAGATGGTCTACAGTTGAACGGAACAACACAATTGTTGACATTCGCGGAGGATATTGTTTTGTTAGGGGACAATGAAGAGGCATTAATTAATAGCGCAAAAATATAAATATATAATACTAAAGATCTGGAACTGCAAATAAGCACGGAAAAAATCAAATATGTGGTAACCGATAGAGTTCAGAATAGGTCTAGTACGGGAACTTTAGTCGTTTTGAGCGGATCTTTAGGTATTTAGGATCGATCATAAACCAGACGAACGAAATTAACGAAGAACTTAAGAAAAGAATCAATCTAGGCAACTCAAGTTTTTATTCGGTTAACAAATTGCTCAGCTCGATGTTGCTGTCTAGGAGATTAAAAATCAGGATATACAGGACAATCATCCTGCCGGTAGTCCTTTATGGTAGCGAATCGTGGTCGCTGACGTTACGGGACGAAAAGAAATTCAGGGTCTTCGAAAACAAAGTTCTTCGTAAAATCTTCGGCGCAAAACGCGATGAGGAATCGGGCGAATGGAGAAAACTCCATAACGTTGAAGTACATCGATTGTACAACAAACTAGACATTATAAACGTCGTAAAATCACGCCGATTAAGATTGGCTGATCACGTGGCGTGTATGGRTGAGGATCGAACGGCGCACAAAATGTTGGTCGGTATACAAAACGGGAAAAGACCACTAGGAAAACCAAAACATAGATGGGAGGATAATATTAGAAGAGAACTGAAAGAAATAGGATACGAAAACCGTAAATGGAAGGATCGCGCTTAGGGACGGGAACACTGGCCGGATTTGGTATTTGCGGCAATGAACTTGAGTTAATAAAAAAAAAATATTATTTCTTACAATCTTCGGGAAGTACAAGGTCACTTAGATAATAAAAAAATTTAATGATATTATCATCGTTATCTTTTTATAAACTAATACTTTTTTTCACATGGACGCATGTACATGCATATCATAAAATTGATTGATCTGAACATTTACAATTTATAATTTGACATACTCTATTAAATATCCAAAGTACAATTCGTGATGAATACAATATATAATATATATATACATATATATATATATATATTTATATATCAGCTGGACTAGAATACCCGCGTGCTTTGTGTTTTTCTAATCGCAGCGAAAAATATGAAAAATAAGTATTCAAATAACAACGAAATTAAATCGTTTCCTGCCACATGTTGTTTATGAGGGGATTTTATTTTTAGGCTACGTGTATTAATGAAAATTCAAGGTGACAAACGTGGTATCCAAGAATGTACTCTCCTGTGTCGTCCTAAATTACACTTTGGGGTTAAGACAGCAAGAAGAGCCAAGCATGCACCCAAAAGTGAAACTCCGCACAATGCACCAGCTGTTATATCGTGTAGAGGAGTTCCTGGTCTAGGTGATTTAATATCTAATAATAAAAGTCCTGCACAACTCAATGCGGAAAGTCCAGCAAGACCTAGTCCTGTCCAAGTTCTTCTTAAACTTCTGCAAGCACCTGCCAATGCGCAGCAAACACCGCAACCAGCAGCACTGTCGAAATAATATCTGAAAAAACGAACAGACATATATTGTTATTTTTATTTAAATATCATTTTATTAGTTCTTACTTACTTTCTTCCTTGGGTCCAAGAAAGATAAAATGCCAGACCACAGGTCAAAATTCCTACCATGACCAACAAGAGGGGTGCATTTCTTCGATCATTTTTCTCCAATGCACTTGCCAATGTTGTATTAGCGTCGCTGTGTGGTGGAGATAACGGTGGTACCTAATCAAATTAAACAAATGAAACATTTATTGTTAGAAATTGTGATTAATCCTAATCACAAGTGGTTTAAACTTACAACAGCAGTCCTAGCAATGAACGCACTTTCCACGCTCTGATAACCGTTTCTCTTTTGATCGGTTGGAAGTACCTGATACCTTGGAGAACCAGACACCATTGGCATAGATTCCGGACCATTTTCTAGATAACCATAGCGTGGTGGGGGTTCTCCGTGAACCATAGATGCAAGATCAACCGGAGCTGTACCAACGTAACGAAGTCTGCCACAATTACTGGCTGGACAAACATCCTGTTGTTGTCTAGACGTGTTTTCTATTAGAGGTAGACACCTTCTAGCCGAAGGTTCTTTGTTAGGTGTCGAAGTTTGAGGGCCATTAGTTGGAAACGTTCGATTCTGTGGTGTTCCTTGAGGTGTCGTACGTGTTGGACTGAAGTTATGACCTATATGTGAACAAAATGGAACGAGTTATCTTTGGGAATATAATTATATGAAAAATAATAGAAGTATAAAGATTAAAAATTATTAGTTACTGCTTGGGGATCCAGCTGGGGTTAGGACTCTCCTTTGTGGGGTACCGGTTTGATTCACGGTCTGTTGCCTTTTAGGAGATAGGGTTCGTTCCTCCGATCTAGACCTTGGTTTTCGTGGTGTCGTCAATATTTCGTGAAGTTTTCTCGTTGCTAAATTATTCCTAGGTGACGTTGAATATTCCTGTTGAAGGTTCCTTTCCGGTAGGGCTGGCGGTGGTTCATCGTCTTGTAAAGGTACTCTCGCGTAACGACCTATCAATATATTAACCTCGTAAAAAGTTTTAAATGAAATGATAATGAGCAGAGAAAAGAAAAATTGACTTTACCTTGAGCAGCGTTAACGCTACCACGTCGTGAGATACGTCTGTTTCCATTCCAAGTATTCCTGACAATGTCTTCTTCGTCATTGTCGTTATCATCGTCGTTATTGTCAATGTTAAGATTATCATCGATTTCGTCAGGATAATCTAACTCACCCGGTACAATCGCGTATCTTTTTTCACCGTTGTTACGGTTGGTATGCATTTGTTGCATGCGGCCCCTTTGTCGTTTATCGTCTTGGTTGACCGGCGGCGCGGAACGTTGCCGTTGCACCTGCTGGCGCGGAATGAACTCGTACCTGATGGAAGGCCTTCTTTGCAATTGACCCCTTTGCTCGTCCTGAATATATTCGTATCTCGAGGATTGTCCATAATTCATTGCACCACGATCATCTATCGGAAGACTCGCGTATCTCTTGTGAGTTGGTTGACCAACGTTGTTATCTTCCAAATAACAATATCGTCTATTATGTTCTCTGTTATCTAACGTGTCTATTTGTCTTTCCATTCGCGTTTCGTTGTTACCTTGAAACGCCGGATTACTTTGGCCGCATTGCAAATTCATTTGCAAGGGTGGCGGGGGTGGCGGTAATTCGTCGGTGCTGCATTGAAATTGTGGAGGTGGTGGTAAATTTTCTCTATCGTCAGGTATGTATTCCGATTGACGACAAAACGATGGATTGGTGTAACAGTGCACTGGGGCACACGGTTCTGATGTTTGCGCCATCTTTTCCTATTAATCCTTCTCAACACAACACTTTTTGAAAAGTCTTTTCCTTTTTTTTTTTCAAATACAATAAGTTCTTAACAATTATTTTACTCCTGTTGAAATATTCTTCAGGAACGATTAACAACGATCAAAAAAAGTGTGCTAACGTAAGTAGGTGATCTCCAAGTTTCCAAGGACAAATTAACTGTTCGAACTGGCGTAATTTCCACGTTTACGCGTGAATACTCTATTTTACACATTTTACACTATTCAAAATTTGTTAATAAGATTGACAAATACATTAAAAAAGAAAAATGTTATTATACTTTCTGATACTTGTTCCGAGTTCGAAAATGTTTGGTAGCGTGCACGAGCGTTGCCAGTTCGAAACTGGCAGCTCGAACGTGGGATTCCTTTAAGCAGCAGATGTACTACGAAAAGGGCGTCTCTTCCACGCGCGCCTTTTTCTCCTCGAAGTTAGTAGTATGTGAATGTACGAGAGAGGGGTGGTTGTCGCATGTAATACGGGCCCGGTGTTTCCCTTTGCAAGAAAGAAGAAGGGTCCCATTGCGTTCTCTTTTAACAGCATACTATTACTCCCCCTTCCTTTTATTTCCTCCCCTTCTCTTCCCTTCCTTCAAGGTACCCTTAACGATTATTTGCAAGGTTTTCATACACGTCGAAGAATTTTCACGTTGTCGTCATTTGAGCGCCAGTTTACCTCTCAGATAGACTCTTTAAATTTTAAATGTCTCTTTCTCTATCTATCCCTTTTTTTTTCTTTTTTTTTCAATCATTAATTTACATCCATCAAAATTTCATCTCTTTTATTACAATATTATTATTATTTGTCATATTGTATATATTATTGTGTAAAGTTTCCTATTATAAGTTAGGTTGTGAAATCTTGAAAAGATTCAATGATCTTTCCCTTTGCATTTTCTTTGAAAAACTTTTATTTGCCAAATGTTCTTGGACATATTTATATTAGAACGTTGTCCTGTGAAACGTTATATTTTGAAATATCAACAATCCGTTATAGATAGGAGGAACTCGTGTAGAAGGTACCGTGTTCGATTTGTGGGACAGCTGCTGTTGCCACGACCGTTGGGACGCGTGCCCCAATCGTAACAGCTGCTCCAATACGAATGCATTTCGGTCACAAACATGATCTTTTTCTCTTTCCCTTTCCTTTCTATATCCAAGTGCACGTGCAAAGAGAGAGAGAGAGAGAGAGAGAGAGAGAGAGAAAAAGAACAAGGGGGAGGGGAAAGGAGAGAGAAAGTCGTTGAAGCATCCACGTTAACGGCCAAAAAGTCACTGAACTAACAAAAAATATCGAACAACTCGTTTTATCTCATTATAATTTAAGTTTGATCTTCCAAAAAATAACCAGGAAAACATTTTTACTTTATTTTCCTTGTTTTCCTGCCACCCCCTTTTCCCTCCTCACGTCCAATCGTTTTTAATCGGAAATTCAGGTTTTTCTTTTTGGTTTCGTGTGTTTTTTTTTTTTTTTTTCAAACTTTTCTATAACGGTAAAC